TTTKTYTTTCCGCTTTTTTTTTAATCTTATTCTTTTCATAGCTAACTTTGTAGCGATAGCCTCATCCTACTTTCTTTAATAGAACTAGTAAGTCCTATTTTGCTCATTCATATTCATCAGCACCTGTGATATGGAGGAGTATAGTAGGCTATCTCTCTATACGTTGAAGATGTTGGTGCTAGCACAGTAAGAGATGTTCCATCATTATTACTTCTCCATTGAGGTGTGCATAGAATTTTCTTACCAAATGAACCACTGTTTGCAGCTAGCTTGAGAAGTATATGTTGCTAGTAAAGCTTGTTGGTCACCTTCATGATGAAAGAAGGTAGTTCAACAATTGAAGGCAATAATCCTTTCTCACATAAAACTCCTTTCTTCTTTATATTTTCATATTTTGCTGTAGTTTCCTTTGTGGCAAATTTCTTATACTAGGAACTTATTTACATGTGCTTCTTCTTGTTCTCATTTTCTTGGCTTTCTCCAACATTTTCCTTTCTCGTTTATTTTTTTGATACCATTTTGATTTCCCTTGGTTTAAAAAGATAAACAGAAGCTCGACAGTGTTTTTTCTGTTACTTTTCTGCTTAGAAACAATGCTTTTGAGCTTAGTTTGATACCAAAAACCATGCATTGTGCTTTATCTTAGGTTATTACATGCACAAATCAACTTTTTTTATAACATGTAGAGTTGATTTATAATGAAAATTACAGTTTTATACTGAAAATTTTGGAGCAACATGTCATGCGCCTACCTTGATGATTTTGCCCATAATTAGAAACGGGCATTTTGATTAATTTGACAGCTTCTCCTCAGCCCCACGTGTCATCCATCCAAGGGAGTTTAAATATTTAGTTGCAAAAGTTAGTCCATGTGAGTTCAATGGAAGACCATAAATTTCTCAACAACTCAACCACCTTGAAGCTTCCCATATATTCACCATTTCACTCACCCATTTCATATTTTAGTGTTAGTTATTTAGTAGGAGAGCCAAACCTATATGTAAGGCTTTATTTATTAAAACGTAAGATAACAAGAACAGTAGAAATTAAAATTAAAACTGCCAGCCAAATATTTTCCTTAAACTTCGCTTACGAACATGGTGCGTTTCTTACCCTCATGTGAGAACATCACGGTAGGGAACTAGTAAGAAACATTGTGTGATTCTTACCCTCATGTGAAGACATTATAAGAAGACAAGTGTTTGGCTAATGAGGATTTCATAAGAAGACTAGTGTTTGGCTAATTCTCCTTACCCTCACGCATAAGAAGACATGTGAGGACATCATAAGGAGACAAATGTTGGCTAATTCTCCTTACCCTTCACGCATAAGAAAGACAAGTGTTGGACAAGTGTTTTGGCTAATTCATAAAAAAGACAAGTGTTATAGTGGTATATCCCATTGCTTTTTAACTGTACTATATACTATGCAGTAAGGAACATTGTGTGCTTCTACCCTCACGTGAAGACATCATAGGAAGACAAGTGTTGGTTTAATTCATAAGAATATGAAGACAAGTGTTGGCTAATTGTATATCCTATGTGAGAAAATACTTTGCTCCAAGGTGACCACATCATAAGAAGGCTAGTGTTAATGTTGGTATTGTAGAATGATTCTCTGCTGTACAACATGATTACAGATAATGATTCATTCCATCTGTGCGCTTTTGGGCTTTGATATATTAATTTTGAAGGCACTCACATTTCTCAAGAAAAACTATTATTTAGTTAGTAGGAGCACAAAGCCACGAAAGGCTTTATTTATTAAAACATAAGACAAAAAGCACATTAGATAGGAATGTGCTGTTTGCTAGGAAATTAAAGCAGAGGGCGCTTAGATGTCGCATCTCTGTGGGCGTACTCCGCAAATGGTTGGCAACATCCTGGCCTTCTGTAGGATCTGTTCTTTCTTGACCACGCTCCTGGCTCTATGCCTCACGAGCAATCTCTTGCAAGGCATGGCACCTGCACTGCTCCTCCACGTTCCTCAGCTGTCTGCAGCACTCTTCCAAGCTTTGCACTCTCTCCCATTGGTTCCATTCCACTCCCTTCATCTGCAAATATCCTCCACTCTGCCTCTGGGATTCTCACAGCTGCGGAGTTGCTCGCGGGGCCTAATGTGCTGACACCTCTCCTGCCGCCCTTGGTTGTCTTTGTCCACCTCCACGGTGGTGACGGTGGTGCGGTAGGCGTAGGCATCTACAACCAGCAGCGCAACTACCAAGAGGGCAACCATGCTTGAGAGTCTGGCCATTGCTTTTGGTTTTTGCAAATAGGGAAGTGGGGAAAGGAGCAGTGAGCAGAGTGAAGAAGATGAGATTGTGAGTTGGTATTTATAAGAATTGGTGAGTGGTGCATGTGGGAAAAGTGGAGAGAGTGGTTGCCATGGTGGGATTCAACATCGTGGTTGAGCTTCCACGTTTGTTTAGGCATGCAAATGAGAAGCCGCATGTGTCATTAAAGTATGCAGTGCATTGCAACTGTTGAAGTTGTGGCATTTTACATACAAATTAAATGACTGAGTGTATTGGTTTATGCGTTACTGCTTGAGAGAGTAGTGGGTACATGGTCGTTTTGCCGCGAAGATTACTTTGTAAAGGGCAACACAAGTGGATCGTGGCGTTTCTTGGTTGGTAGCTGAGTCGTATAATATCAAAGTGATTCAATTTGTCTGTTTAGGATTGTTTTGGTTAAATAATAAATTTGCAAGTTAATTCAATTTGTCAGTTTGGTCCACCTTTAATTTCAATGTCATCTCTATATTTTTGGTTAATTTAGTTTCAGTTTGTCTCCATTTTTAGCTTCACTCTCAAATTGGATCTTTTTGGTTTAATTCAAACTTCACATATATTGTTTGTGATACTCATCTTGACATTTTTTTTACATGAAAATGTTATAATATTTTATAACGTGGTTTCATTAATACATCTAAACTTTCAAAAGTTTATTTTTACACTTAAATCTTAAAGTTGTTTCAAACCTACCTTACTGTCAACTTTTCCATTAAAATGAAGACGAAAAAATGACGTGGAAATCACTTGTTAAGTAGTAGTTCACAATGGCAAAAGTTCAATCATTTATACTTTGAACTTTAAGGATATATTTCAATTTTATACCATTTATCATTCCAAAGGTTTCATTTTAAACCTTTAACAATTGAAATGGTTTCAAAACAACAATTTTATTAGCTTCTCTACTTAATATGAAGATGGAAATATGACGTCATGGTGAGCTATAGATAAAAATAATAATAAAAGAGTCTCAGACACATTCAAAATGATGTTACATAATTTGGCGGTAGGGAGAATTGAATTTAGTGATTTGGATAAAGTATTGTAATTTCCTCATATCAAAATCAAAAGATCGATGGGGAAACAAATTTTTTGAGAGATTGTAGTAGACCATGAAGGACAGACAAAACATGGGGCATCTATGTCATGATCAATTGACAAAAATTAATGTTAGGGCATGAATAGAGGAGAGAAAGAAACAACAAAGAAATTCCAGACAATCTAACCTAAATACCATTGTTTCTTAATAGATTTCTTACATCCGATAATGAAAATTTATTTTTCTTCGTCAATCAATATTGTTCTTTGTTATTCTCCTAGCTTCCACACTCTACCACTATTTTCTCTCATAAACATATTCCTAATCTTTTTCTTTCTCGTTTCTTTTTTTGATACCATTTTGATTTATCTTGTTTACAAAGATAAAAATAAGCTCGATAGTGTTATTTTCCGTTACTTTTCTGCTTAGAAACAATGATTTTGAGCTTAGTTTGATACCAAAAACCATGCATTGTGTTTTATCTTGGGTTATACATGCACAAATCACCTTTTTATAACATGTAGAGTTGATTTATAATCAAAATTACGGTTTTATGCTGAAAAAATTGGAATACGGTGTCATGCGCCTACCTTGATTATTTTGCCCATAATGGGAAATGGACATTTTAATTAATTTGACAGCTTCTCCTCAGCCCCACGTATCATCCATGCAAGGAAGTTTAAACATTTACATATTTAGTTGCAAAAGTTAGTCCACTTTGAAGCTTCCCATATATTCAGCACTTCACTCACTTATTTCATATTTTACTGTTAGTTATTTGGTAGGAGAGCTAAAACTATATGTAAACCTTTATTAATTAAAACATAAGACAAAAAGCACAGTAGAAATTTGTGTTCCCATGTAAAAAGCACAGTAGAACATGTTGTTCGTGTTCCCTTATAGTGTGTAGGCTAGAAAAATTAAAAGTACCAGCGAAATATTTTCCTTAAAATTCGCTTATGAACATCATGTGGTAAACCCTCACGTGAGCACATCACGGTAAGGAACTGGTAAGAAACATTGTGTGATGCTTACCCTCACGTGAAGACATCATAAGAAGACAAGTGTTTGGCTAATGAGGATATCATAAGAAGACAAGTGTTTGGCTAATGAGGATATCATAAGACGACAAGTGTTTGGCTAATGAGGATTTCATAAGAAAACTAGTGTTTCGCTAATTCTCCTTACCCTCACGCATAAGAAGACACGTGAGGACATCATAAGAAGACAAATGTTGGTTAATTCTCCTTACCCTTCACGCATAAGAAAGACAAATATTGGACAAGTGTTTTGGCTAATTCATAAAAAGACAATTCATAAAAAAGACAAGTGTTTTAATGGTATATCCCATTGCTTTTTCATTGTACTATATACTATGTATTAAGGAACATTGTGTGCTTCTATCCTCACGTGAGGACATCATAGGAAGACAAGTGTTAGTTTAATTCATAAGAATATGAAGACAAGTGTTGGCTAATTGTATATCCTATATCGGAAAATACTTTGCTCCAAGGTGACCACATCATAAGAAGGCCAGTGTTAGTGTTGCTATTGCTTTTTAGTTGTATATTCCCATCATCAATATTTTGTTGTGGTTATCTGTTGTAGAACGATTCTCTACTCTACAATATGATTACAGATAATGATTCATCCCATCTGCGTACTTTTTGGTTTTTGATATATTAATTTTGAAGGCACTCGCATTTCTCAACACCAAAACTACGTAGGACTTTATTTATTAAAACATAAGACAAAAAGCATAGTAGATACGACTGTGCTGTTTGCTAGAAAAAGCAGAGGGCAGTTAGAAGTCGCATCTCTGTGGATGAAGTTGGCACATGGATGGCAAAATCCTTGCCTGCTGTAGAATCTAGCTTCGTTGGCCATATTGCTCCCTCTGTGCCTCACGAGCAACCTCCTCCAAAGCATCGCACCTGCAGTGCTCCTCCACATTCCTCAACTGTCGGCAACACTCTTCCAAGCCTTGCTCTCTCCCCCATTGGTTCTCCAAAATTTCTCTTCTGTCGCCGCCCTGCTGCCTCAGGAAGTTCTCGCAGTTGCGGAGCTGCTCGCGGGGCCTGATGTGGCGGCACCTCTCTTGCCGTCCTTGGTTGTCTTCGTCCTCCTCCACGGGGGTGATTGTGGTGCGGTAGGTGTAGGCATTAGCAACCAGCATTAGCAACCAGAAGCGCAACTGCCAAGAGGGCAACTATGCTTGAGAGTCTGGCCAATGTTGTTTTGTTTTAAGCTCTCTTTTTTGTTTTTGCAAATATGGAAAAGAGTGGAGGGGATTGAAGAAGATGAGATTGTGAGTTGGTATTTATAAGAATTGGTGAGTGGTGCATGTGGGAGAAGTGGAGGGAGTGGTTGCCATGGTGGGATTCAGTGTTGTGGTTGAGCTTCCACGTTTGTGTAGGCATGCAAATGAGAAGCCACGTGTCATTAGAGTATGCAGTGCATTGCAGCTATTGAAGTTGTAGCATTTTAAATAGTTACTGATAGGAAGTGGGTACGTGATCGTTTTGCCGCGAAGATTACTTTGTAAACGGCAACACAAGTGGACTGTGGCGTTTCTTAGATGGTAGCTGAGTCGTATAATCTCAAAGTGATTCAATTTGTCTGTTTGGGATTGTTTTGGTTAAATAATAAATTTGTAGGTTATATCAATTTAGTCAGTTTGGTCCACGTTTAATTTGAATGTGTGGTCTCTATATTTTGGATTAATTTAGTTCCGTTTGTGTCTATTTTTAGGTTTACTTTCAAATTAGTTATTGTAGTTTAATTCAAACTTCACAATTTGTGATACTCATCTTATTAGCATTTCCTATACACGGAAAAGTTTCTAAAATCCCTTTAAATTTTTAAAAGTTTTAGTTTTACCATTAAATTTTAGTTATTTCAATGTGAATTATTTTGTTAAAATAAATATGGAAAAATGACGTGGATATGACTTGTAAAATAGTAGTACACAATGGGAAATGTTCCAATTTTCATTTATATCCTTGAACTTTTCAATTATATAACACTTATCATTCACGTTTCATTTTAAAATGAGGATGCAAATATACGTCATGGTGATCTATAGATAAAATAATCAAAGAGTCTAAGTCACCGTAGAAATGAAATGGATGTTACGTAATTTAGTAGCAAAGGGAACCTAATTTAGAGATTTTAAATATTTGGGTAAAATATTGTTCCTCTCATTAAAATTTTTGAGGGAGTAAGTAGTGACAAAACTTAAAGCATCTATCTCAGGATCAATTGACAAACATTAATGCTAGGACAAGACTAGCAAAAAAATCCAAGACAATCAAACTTAAACTGTGTACCCATACTTTCAATCAGCTCTACTCTACAACAAATTTTCCCTCATAAACATATTCCTATCATGAGCAATCAAACTAACTTTATCTCTTTCAACTTTTCCAACCAATTGGCAATGTGAACAATAACTAATTTATATTATAAACCTTTGTTAGATCCATACCCCTCAAGATGGTGCCTCTTTTGGATTCACGAATCTTGGTTGGATTCCTTTTTTTGAACGACTAGATCTTTTGGGCTCTTATGGTATCAGAGCCCAACAAATTCAAACGAACATTTGATTAAAAAATGAAATTTGATCAAGATCGATTAGCTAAAATGGTCACGATCTCGATGAGGCATCTTAAAGATCTCACTTGAAAAGATAAGGGACCTTATAAAGGTTTATAATAGACATGGACCATGAATATTAATAAAAGAGATTGTAATTTTTTACCCATGCATGTTTTTTCTCACTAATATGTGGCTTCTCCCGTCATTTAAACCAAACTATATCTCTTAAATCTACTTCCCCTGTAATTTAGACACTTTTGAATGTTACCGATTAAAATAATCAATTAACCCAAAAGCATAAGTTGATGGGTTAGAGTACATTTAATTCATTTATATGATATCTAATACTCCTCATCAATTGTGGGCTTGAAAATTTTGCACAAGGCCAAACAAGTTAAATCAATATTAAATAGAGAGGAAACAAATAATGCAAGAGTTCAAACATAGGACTTTATGCTTTGATACCATCGTAAATATGATTAAACGACCAATGAACCTAGCTTTTAGGTTAATATCATGTTTAACATGCGCATCTTAAATGAATAAACCACAATCAATCCAAAAGCTTGAGCTAATTAGTTAGGGTAAATTTACTTCATTTATAGGATATCTCATAAACTATTTAGCTACATCATATTTTCATCTTCATATTAATACGGAAGCTTGTGAGGTTGTTTTGAAAAAAATTTAAAAGTTAAAGGATTAAAATTAAACTTGTAAAACAATAAGGCAATAATTGAAACTTACCACATGTACCACTATTGAAAAGTCACACCGCTTCACTTTTTTCCACATTCATTTTAACGAAAGAGTTGAGGAAGTATAATTTTGAAATCATTTAAAAAGTTAAGCGTAAAAAATAAAGTTTTTGAATAGTTTATTTAACTTATTTTCGATTTTGTTAACTGGTATTAGGATTTAGAGTGAAAAAAATAGAAGAAAATATATAAAATTTCAAAAGTGTTATAACCTTTTTATTTTCTACCAACTCTAATAAAGAGATCTCTTTCTAGTTTTTTCTTTTTAATTACAAACATTCGAGTCTTTCTCTTCCTCTTAGATTTAATTTGATTCCTCGTCATTGTTTAACATTGCCTTGTTTGAGCTAACTTTCATCTTTAGTTTTTAGTTTTTCTTTTGATGCAGTACAGAGACGGTACTTTGTAATTCAAACTAAATAGGTTGAAAATGATCATATACGACCAACAAAAGATAATTGTTTCTGAACTCGTCCCTGAGCTTGAGGCCCCCTTTGTGATAGATGGGAAAAAAGAAAGACGATTTTTGTCTCATTCAACCAACTATATTTTTGAAGCAGATAGTTTACAGGGCTCATTCTATAAATATTAGAAAAGTCGAACTGAATGAAATTTCATATTAGTCAATCGAAATTGAAGAACCACATCCCAACCCAACCACAAATTCCGAACTTTTTGGTTGAAGTCGACCTGCCACACGTGCATCCAATGGATCCCACGGATACTTTGTGCTTAAATATGACAAGAATGAGTATGTTTTAAGTTTCGATGTATTCTCTCCGAACAATATTTTTAACCTCTTTTATATAATAATAAATGTATTATTATTATTACGAAATTATCCTAAGATTTTTATAAATTTAGTTGGCAGCATACATCACTATTCATTGATTTTATCAACTTCTAACACAATAAAAAGAAATCGTACTGTTATCTTATTTTTTTTCCTTTTGTTTTTTAACATGAATGCTACATATTTCTCTTAGTATGTATGAAATTAAAAAATAGCTAAAAACAAAATATTTTCTGTATATAAATGAATTTTCTATCAGTATAGTTTTTGCCTAATTAACAATGAGATGCTACAAATTTATTATAGATTCGACGGATAGATGACTAATGTGAGATCTTTTTAAAAATGAACGTTGATAAGAAATTTAAAAATTTAGAGCGTGTTGGATAACTTTTTTTTTCTTTAGTTTTTGAAAAACATGTTATTTCATAACCAATTCAATTTTCTACCTGTTTTGTTTTTCTAAAACCAAAAAATAAAAAATAAAAAAAATAGATTTTTGTTCTTCAGAATCTATTTTTGTCTTCTAATACTTTTTTTACGTATTTTTCTCTAACAAATTTCTTTTTCTTATTCTAAAATTTTTCTTCTAAAAAATTTATTTTTCTCACCCTAGAATTTTAATAATTTAAATATTTATTATTACTTCTCTCACCAAAATTTTGAACTCTATCTTTTTTTCTTTTTGTTATAGTATATCGCTCTCTTAAAAATTAATATTTTCTCAAACTTTGTTCTAATTTTAATCTTTGTAGACACCGTATTTGGTCCGGCTTCATTTTAATTTTAATTTTTACTATTTAATTTTTGTTTTATTAAGTTTTGTTTTGATTATTTTGATTTAAAATACTATAAGATTACTTTATTATTGGTTATAAGCAAAAGTTAAAATTAAATTAAAAAAATAGATTTTGTTTTAAAGAATTTGATTTATTATTAAAATAAAAGAAATTAAAAGATTTGATTTTAAATAAAGAATTTTGTTTTAAATAAAGGTTTTTTTAATTAAAAAAATAGATTCTGTTTTGGTTAAAAATAAGAATTTGGTTTCTCTCCTTCTATTCTTCTTCTCCCTCTTTTTTTCTCTCTTCTTTTGACTCTTCTTCTTTTACCGTTATTTTTTTTATGTATTTAAGGGACAGTGCATACATGCATAGAGGAGGGTTAGAAACCCATCACCTTATCACCGTATCTTCTTCTCTCCATCTCTCTTATCTCATCATCACCACTTTTCTCTTGCATACCCACGACCTCCGACGACGCAAGGGAACGACAGCAACAACAACCTTCTTCTTCACAGTTTCTTCCAAGCCCGCTGGCCCGTTGGCACTCCGACAATCTCCTCCCCGGTAAGTATCAAATACGTTGGAAAGATTTTTTTTTTAAAATAAGGGAAAGGCTTTGGAGATCATGCTTTTAATTTGAAATAGATTCTTTTATTTCCATCAAAAGTTTTTTTTTGTTTTTTTAGAAAAAAATGTTTTTCTAAGAAAAAGGTTTTTTTTTTTTTTACCTTTTTTAAAAGAAAATGTTTTTAATAAGAAACATTTTTTTTAAGATAAAAAAATCTTCTAAATTAATTTTAAATAAGGTTTTGAAAATAAAATAAAGATTTTGATATTTTAAAATTTGTTTTAAAATAAAAGGTTTTCTTTTTCTAATAAAGAAGAGTTTTTTAAATGAAATNATAAAATAAAGATTTTGATATTTTAAAATTTGTTTTAAAATAAAAGGTTTTCTTTTTCTAATAAAGAAGAGTTTTTTAAATGAAATAAATATAAACTTAATTTTATTTTAATAAAATATTTTACTTTAAAAATTTGGTTAAAATACGTTGAAAAAAATAGGAGTTTTATAAAATAAATCTTGTTTAAAAAAATTTGGATTCTTTTAAATTTGGATTCAAAGCTTAAGACATAGTTTTTATTTAAAATGATTTTTTTTACGAGGTTTATTTTTTTTGTGTTACCTTTGTTTTATTTTTTAATTAAAAAAGAATTGCTGCATGATTTTAAAGGAGGAGATAAAAACAGAGTATTTTAAAATAAAATCTCATTTAAATTTCTTTCAATGGTTTGGTGGTTATGGTTTTATAAAAGATCTTAACAAATTTCTTTTTTTCACTCTAAAATTTTGTCCTTCTAAAAATT